AGGTAAAAATAAATAATTAAATGAAAATAAGAACATTATTGACAAAGACATCTAAGGAAGAAATGTGTGGATAAAAGTCAACAAACGGTAGAAGGATTTAAAAATACTTGCTCCTACCATAAATACTCTTCAAAAGTTGACCTTTGCTCAGTAATCAAGTAGATTGGATAACTGTTCTGCACACTGTCAATCTCTATCTCCAGTCATTCCTATCATTGTCCATTCAGCCAATAAATGTGTGATCGTGATGGAAATGATGGAAGTTATGCAAGGCTCCCCTGGCTGCAGTTGCTGCTGAGTGCTATGTCTACCAACAGAAGAGACCAACATTGAGCCATAGACATGACATCATTCTTTAGGATTACCTGCCATTAATGTGGTTGCAGGATGACTACATTGGACTCTTTCCTCTCTAAAAAGGACAATGATTTGTTCTTACCTGAAATGACACTCTTCTGCCTGTGGAGTTATCTTTCCTGTATGCAGGCTTCTCCCAAAACCTCAGTCTTACTGAATGTCTTACATAGAATTTCAGAATGTTTCATTCCCCAAAAATGTATTTGACACAATATTGTACCAAACTAACAAACTTATTTTATGTCCAGGAAAGTGTGATAATGAGCCCAAAATGGAGATTACACATCTAATATCTGAAGTACAGGAGATCCATTAGGATATATCCTGGTGCTCACAAGTCTTTGATTAAATTAATTTGGAAAAGAAAACAGCCTATTCCAATCAGGATGACAAAGGATACAGCTACATCAGAAGAAATACAGGTAGGCATCACTACCTATGGGAAAGGGTCACAACTTGATGTGCTGCTGGTAGAGGAAGGTGGAGAAAATATGAAATGGATAGAAGAGGAATTACTTATAAATGTCAGCTAAGACCAAATAACCAACTGTAGAAAAGAGAATTCACTCATGTGTGTTTTTGTTTTATTTAATTTAGAATGCATTTATGTAGACATTTTTGTTTTCTTATTGGGTTAAGTAGTGTCCTTTGTCTGCCCCACAATGGGTCTAGGGCCACTTGGGGAGGCAGGACTTAGGAAGTTTGACTTCACTCACCCCTCGATGGCTCTGGGTGTCCAGATGAGAGTTCTTGGCTTGCCGTGGGCAGCTGGCTTGGGTTTTTGGTCTCAGCATCTAGGAGTGCTGAGACGTCTTCTGCAGGAAATTATAAGGTGGCTCTGTAGGCGAAGGCCTTCTCCAATGTTCCCCATGGCAGATGCTGATGAAAAGAGACAGTCCATGGTTTTAAGCATTTATTTAAGTCATTGTGGAGAGTGGCATGAGTAAAAAGTGTACCTCTTTTCTCAGGGCTGGCCTGAGGTTAAACACCTTTTGCAGGGAGCAGTATCTGGAAAGGAAAGCTTAATTGGCTACACCCTTCTGGCCTTTAGGTACCTTATTAAAATAGAGATCTATCTTGATGGTATGTGACTTGTGGTCATATCCTCTACCTTAGTGGGTAGTGGGTAGGAGCATAGCCATTACACGACTGAAGGACACAAATCTATGGAGGCCTCATTTCAGAATCCTGGATTATGGGGGCATGGCAAAATGCCTGCCATCAGAAACCAGCTGCCTTCCAAGGTACTACATGACCAATTGCAGAAAAGAGTATTCACTCAGGTGTGGTTTTGTTTTATTTTATTTAGAAGGTATTTATGTTGAAATTTGTGTTTTCTTCCCTCAGTTTCTTTACCAGGTGATGGAACATCAATATAGAGTAATATCAAGATAACAAAAGACTGTTTCTTGTCAGATATGGCCACATATTCTAAATTTATAATGTATCTGCAGTTGTCCATGTCTCCTTGTCAATATTGGGACACTGTAGGGCTTGATCGTGTGTGAGCCTTATGACTGCTGAGAAATCTTTGTGAGGTCATATAATTATCAGTCCCTTTTTCTTAATGATACTGTTTTACTAAAGTCACTCAATGCCTCTGTTACTTATACTTATTGATCTGCTTTTCCACATAGATCCCTGAGCTCTGAGTTGTGTTGTTTTTTATATTAACTTGTGGTAAGGAGATAATCCTGAAGAGAAACCTTACTTATGTCATCAAATATGGAGAAGTTGAGCTGGTCCCCAACTAGAAGCTTTACCTCTGGTGATTGGAATTCAAATTGCTAGAAAGTATACCACATGCTACCAGAGGAAAAGGTAAAGGGAATAAAGATCAAGAGGGTCCCACTACATAAAGATTCCTCCTCTTCAAAATGTACATTTAGAAACAAGCAATGTACCCTCTTACAAAATTGTCCCTCATCAAAGGCTCAGGGAAAAGAGAAGATGGTAGGAAAGATCTTGAGAGTCAAAGGATAAGGAAGCTAGCTGTGAACATATGTCTTCTAGGATTGGCAGAAGGTATACCCTGAAGTCTTACCAATATGACCTCCAAAACATAATGAGAAAAAGGGTCACAGTGTGCATGACAGCTTGGAAGGAAGAAAGCTGGCAATGTATTATCTACATAACCATTTGAAGGAAACTATAAACCTGGGAATGGAAAAGGTTATCATGCTCAGGGACAACCAGAGAACAAGTATTGGCAATATACTACCAATAATGAGCCAGCAGAACATAAATATATGTAATTTTACATGGTCTCTACAATTTATATTTCAAGAAGATATGGATATGCAAATACATATACACATTCAGTAAGAATTGATGAAATAAGAGGGCATGTACATTTTAGGATTGCAGGGAGGGGTAAAAAGAGTGTTTTGAAGATAGGAAACATAAACAAGAAGCAGTTAAATTACAATGTCAAAAACAAACTACCAAATAATATTTAAAAAGTAGAGCAGCAAACAGAACTTTGAGAAAAACATGACACTGACCTGCAACGTGTGATGCAAAGAAGTCATGTGTGTGTGCGTGTTTGTGTGTGTTTGTGTGTGCAATATGAAACCCAAATAATCTTTAGTACTCATATTTTGATAAAACTAATGATGAGACCCTTCATCTAGAGTGATTTATATGTTTGTATACTTCACTGAGCTTATTGTGGTAAAGATCTTGTGTGGGATATTTCCATTAGTGGTTTTCCTCACTTAATGAAACACAATCATTTCATAATGAAAATGTGTGTTTTTGCATAAAGGTAGAGTCTTACATTGCAGACACAATCTGAACGCCCTTGTCCTTTTCATACTGTGTTCTCTTCTTATGTTATCTGATATTCTTAACATCTTCCTAGTACATTGTAAAGGTATTCTAAAATCCAGAACTTTTGTGATGACCACCACAATATGCATTACTGTCACTGTGCTTCACACTCTGCTATCATTCACTCTTGTTTCTCTTTTCAAATCAGTGTCTTTTATTGTATCAGGAGTCTATGATATTCCAAATCTCAACAGAGGCAATTTACCAATTAGGGGATGTTTTAGTTTCTATTGCTGTAACCAACACTATGATCAAAAAAAAAAAAAAAAACATGTAAGAAAGGTGTTTATTTTCTTATGTACTTTGGTCACAGTCTATTAAACGAAGCCAAGGAAAAGTAAAATTGAGAATTCCCCTAATTCTTAATATTTTTCAGAAATGACAGCTATATTAAAATAATCCCATGTACTTATATATAGTATAACTCATGGGTAATTAAAAATTCATATAATTCATTTTAATGTTCCAAGACATAAAGTGTTAAAATAAATGCTATCCAAATAACAAGTAACATGATGTGAGTACCTGTATATGTATGTGTACGGTGATACTGAATGTGTGTGTGTGTGTGTGTGCACATGTTTTTCAAGAATAATTTATAAAATTGAAGCCATGTATGTGAAAATGAGTGGGAAGTCTGAATATCTGGAAGTTGTGGAAACAAATGATTGTTGTGTGTAATTCATGTACATACAGTTTTCATATATGAAATAAACATAAACTTATTAATTGTGCAGCCTTCATCATTTAGGTTTTTATAAATAATTGTTACTTTAAATGAATAACTGTTAATCACAGCAAATGTACCAATTATTGAGAAAAATATTCTTGAGAAAATTATTCTAGGCTAGTTATCAGTTAATGCTTTTATGATAACTCTTGACTCCTATTTTATTTTATTTTATTTTATTTTATTTTATTTTTTTTTTCCACACAAAATCATTTTATTTCACAAAAAAGTCACAGACTTAGATGTGGAATAACTGTCAGTCAGTAATTTTTCCCATTCCCCTTTTGATTGTGCTGCCTGAGCACAAATTATGAGAAATCTTAAGTAAATAGTAATTCAGAAATAACATTGAACTGGAATGATAATTAGCTGGTTTTCCTTTTAACAGCTCTAACTGAACATTTAGTCACCTAGCTTTGGAACTATTAGTGACACATGGAATGTGTCTTTATCTAAACTTCTCCCTTTAAAAGCAGAGAAATGATGGCATGATTCCTGAATTACTAAGGGGCCAATAATTAGAACTAAATTAGAAACCTTATTTCCAAGCCTCACTGAGAAGGAGACAATTCTGGAGCCCTATACCTTCTTGGCACAAACACCCTTTGCACAATCTCTCCTGCCTTCTCCTGCAGGCTTTTTTGTCTTGTTCAGCTCATGGTTTATTAGATGGACATTTGCTCTCAACACACTGATGTTTCACTGTTAAAAAGTTATGCTGCAGTTTCAGATCTATATAGTAGAATCAGACTATCAAACACATGAAGGTGTCCACGTCCATAAAGGTTCTGGGGGCTGGAGATGAAGATACTTCTGCACTGAGTCTCTTTGTGCTGCTTTATGAAGTCTTGCCCCTCTTCACAAGGAAGAAGTCTCAGTCCTTCACAGGAAGCAGCTAACAGCCAGACTCTCAGCTTATCCTAAGAAAGCTTGTCTCAGTGTGTTTAATGGCAAGGAAAATTTAAAACATGAAGCCAAAAGAAGATACAATCCAAAAGGTTCAGTTATCCTTCCCTGGGGGAAGAAATTCTCAGACCCAGGGAATCAGGTACTGCAATGAATGTCCACTTCAGTTTGTTCATCATCTTTCCATCTGGTCGCTAAACATCAGGACTGAGGAACCTGGGCAGGGCAAGGAGGTGGAGCTGGAAGCGTAGTTGGTGTGGTCCCTGATCTGGCAGAACTTCCGAAGAAGGATTTTTCTTAGCAGCAGATAAACCCAGGGATCCAAGATCTGGTTCAGCGAAGCCAGGCGAACTGCAATGAGGAAGGGATTGCACTCCTTCTCCTTTCCCACCTGTGTCTTGCATTGTTGAACCGACATCTGATTGAAGATCATTTTCAACATCATTATCAATAGCGGTGACCAGCAGACGGACAGCACACACATGATCCCCATGAGCTGGATGGCTGTCTCCGTGGTGATCCGGCCCCACTGGGCGCTGGATTGGGAAGCAGCGGCTTTGACCCAGCAGCGGGACACCAGGGCTTTGATGGTCGCCAGGTTGCAGGCAAAGGTCACCACCAGAGCCAGCAAGCCCAGGCAGGCGAAGGCAGAGGCAAAGGCTACATTGCCCGGCTCGCGCGCAAGGTCCGTCTCGTTGCCCACCGGCCCGGTGCTGATGAAGCACCACGTGCCCGGCCACTGCACGCTGTAGCGGCCCACGCCCAGCACTGGCAGCAGCGCGAAGGCGAGCACAGACAGCCACATGCCCAGCAGAACCGCGCGTGTGGCGCGAGTTTTCACGTGGCTGGCATGCCAGTGCAGCGCGCAGATGGCCAGGGCGCGTTCCACGGCCATGGCGCTGGCCACCAAGAGCGAGGACAGCCCGAACACTGTCATGGTTAGCCCGAAGAAGGTGCAAAGGCGCCCCGATGGGTCGAGCTGCTCCCAGCATCGCTGTGACAGGTACACGAGGATGACCACCGGGCTGGTCAGGAGCTGCCCCACCAAGTCGGTGAGCGCCAGCCAGCCAATGCACAGCAGGAAAGACTTCTTGAGTTTGCTCTCGCGGCGCTGGTAGCTCCGCGACACAAGCAACATGGCCAATGCGTTGCCCACGAAGCCAGTGACCATCATGGTGATGGGGAAGACCACGGACACGGAGCCGCAGTCGTCGACAGCACTTGACCCGTTGCTGTGGGCTTCGTCAGAGTGCTCCGGCGCCCAAATGCTGGCCATAGTGGCGGGGCCACGGTAGGGCGCACAGGGCCGGAGCCTCCCGGCTCAGCTGCGGGGTAGCAGCGGAGCGCGCTGGAGGACAGCGGGGGACGGGGCTCTGTTCTCCATCACCCGCCGCTGCCCGCGCTAGGCTGCGGGGACTGGACAGGCGCCGCCCGACCCCTATTTTAAATATTGAACTCATTTGATAAAATGTTGAAACACATTTTCACAAATTTTCTGACATTAATACAAAAATATTATCTCTTATTATATGTTATCCTTGTACATGTTACATATCCATGTAAAACACTCATTAGGTAGTTTTAAAGGATAGAAATAGTTTTATTGCAAGAATAATCTCTAACAAATTTATGTGAGTTTCTCAGGAGCCATTTAAAAGATCACATTTAGATATATATATAGAGAGAAATGTAAGCGACTTTACCTATTGACAGTTAGTGAACATTCCCTTGGATTCTGTCATTTTCTGAGACTCTACTTGTTGAAGAATGAGTTCATGGTAGGTGTGGGCTGCAGCATACACAGCATTATACAAATTGTAACCTTCTTCACTCCGGGACATGTCAAATTTGTGCAGTGCTAACCATTTCACTGTATTTTTTAATGTAAAATGATCCATTTTGCTATAGCTTTTCTTAGATATTGAACAATTAAAATAATTCCACCATAGCATACACTTACAAATAACTACTGGGTACATGGAAGTATTCATTGTTTGCATAAAATTCCTTAAT